GAAACTTTCGTTGAGTATCCTGTTCTACGATCATAACAAAATATCATCATAAATTATTTGACAAATAAACACCATCATGAAATCAAATTCCTAAATATCCAAGTAGTAGACTATATAACGAGTAAAATATTGATTATAAGATTGAAAAATAAAAGGATCTAACCGTGAAATTGTGTTAGAGATGAAATAAGAGAGACGTCTCGAAAAAGAAAGAGATTGAGCCATTTTCTTATAGAGAAGAATGAATTGGCATTCAAGGAAGAGTTTTATTTATAGCCAAAATTACATGCCAACTGTGGTTAGAAATACTATATTTTTTTTCTCTTAATTTAACAAATAAACTTGAAAAAGAAAGGATGATGAGTGGCTGTTAGGGAGAGGCTGGTGCCGACTGAAACGTTTTCGACACTTGGATCATGGCATTGGTCCACTGGAGGTGGACGTGTCTTGATGGTACGTCGTCAAAAATTACTATATAACAAAAAAAAGTCTAGATTTTCTTTCTTTTCCAACAATTGTTATGATGTCATGTGATACGTCTTTGCTTTAGTTTTATAACAAAACTATACGACGTGTAAAAGTTGATTTAAGTCTTGTTAAAGAGACGGAAGCCACAAACAATCAAATGTCGGTATATGTCTCGAAAGCAGGAAATGTAGTGGTTTTGGGACTCTAAGTTCACTTCTGGTAGTTGGATTTGGAAACAAACTCAGACAGTTAGCCCGTCCATTCATGTTCCGTGACATTAGATCTGGTATAAGAGTAAGTTTTGGCATGACAATTTGACCTCCCTAAGTCCTCTAATCGATGTTACTAGCCCTTAGTCGCTCTGTTACTTGGCATGCTCTCCACCCTCCTGGGCAATCTGTTGGTTGGTTTAGAGCTGTTTGGATTCATGGCAGAATTCCAAAACACTCGTTTGTATGCTGGCTCGCTGCTCGAAATAGAATGTACACCCGTGATAGACTCAGGAGTTGGGGTCTTAATGTGTCTCCGAGCTGCTTTCTATGTGATGTGGATGATGAGACTCTCCAACACATCTTCTTCGATCAGCCATGAAATCTGGCACGCTTTCTTCAATTCAATGCATTTATCACCTCCAACAGGGTTTGAGCAATGTATTCTATGGTTACTTTCTCCATCATATGATGCAAACATCACTCTTGTCATAAGACTAGCTTTTCAAGCCTCTTTATACGGGATTTGGAGAGAAAGAAATGCTAGACTTCACTCCTCGATATCGACTCCTGGCCTCACTCATTATCAAAGGCATCAAACAAACGATCTGTTGTAGATTGGACCCTCTTACTCGTGTTCAACATAACAATCGAGTTCCAACTACGTTACTAATTACTTCGTTCTCTCTCTAACTTTTAGGATCATAACAAGTTTAGCTGTTTAGCTATTTCTTATTTTTTTGGTATGCAGATCGTGTTATCCGATGTGATGAATTCAGAGCCATAAGGGAGACTGTTGTAATGTTCCACGTTTTAAAAAAAAAAAAGGAGGGAAAATGACAGTGTTTGGCGGGAAAAACTACTAAATGTCCATGTTTGAAGAGTATGAAATGATAGTGTTTGGCGGAAAAACCAACCATTTTAAAAAAAAGCTTACATACATGATCCAACTCACAATCTATGAAACGAAAGACTTTTTGTTGGCACAAACAGTTTTATGAGTCAGAAAAAGATTAGTTGGTAGAGGAAGCATTGCTAATTCGTTATTTTCTCTGATCAAAAGCGAATCCAACAATAATAACCAAAAAAAAAAGGGTTTAATTATGCTTCCTCAATCAAAATTTGCAGATATATATGCTCGCAAAAAGGAAACTTAATGCTTGTTGAGATTTGTGTTTATGAAGTATTGTCACCTAAGAAGGCAAAAACCCGTCTCTTGAAAATGCGCGCTAAATCCGTGATTTCTGAGTCTCTTATTCTTTGAACATTGTTTTGAGGTTGTCCAAGTAAGTTTCTTCTACGGGATAATCTTGTCGCTGCATCAACAGTTAGACTCGCCATGTCTCTGCTCTTTGTTAATTCCCTTAGAATAGTAGAAGAGCTAGAAGGACCAGAGACAAGTCTGTTTAGTAATATCAGTATCTCTCTCATCAATAGTGTCCTGTGCCAGTTAAAATAAATAGATGTTGAATGTGTTTTAAGAATAAAAGCATATTAATTTTTTTAGTCGTAAACCAACGATACCTTGCTTTGAATATTTCTGCGTTTGGTTGAAACCCTGTTGTTTCCGAGTCCATTTCTGCTACTAAAAGATGAAGTATCAGCATTAAAAAGTTGGTGTCTTGTGGTAGTTTATGACTCGAGAGTAGTTCGTAGCCAGAGTTTCCTGAAGAAGCTACTAAAGCCAAGATCATTATTACATTCCGGCATAGCTCCAGATCCTGAAAAGTCATATCAACCGAAAACTTTCAAATCCAATTGCAGAAAACAGCTACGTGACATGAAGAGTTTTGTTCGGTTTTTTTGTACCTCTGATGTCTTTCTGGGAGAAGTCAGACAACCTGCTAGACCTTCAAAGATCATACCAACTGCTTCCAAAGAAAAGAGATTTCCTTCGACGTCGTTTCCAGAAGCTGGAGATTTCTTTTCCTCATGGAAAGAATCAAATCTAGCTAGTAGTTTCGGGCCTTTGAACGGAAAATAGATAAACAGGTTAGGGAAAGACAAAAACAACTTTTGTGAAGACGTTCTCAATATAAAACAAATTACAGAGTGATTAAATTTGGTACTTACAGTTTAGCAGCAAGTAGAAAAGTTGAATAGCTCCTTTCCGCACATGTAAGCCAACTTCTTTTCTTAAAAGTAATGAAATGCTCTTAAACATTTCGTCAGAGACAAAACTGACCAAAGTAGAATCATCGTTATATGAATGCAGATTTTTAACAGACTAGAAAAAGAAAATGATTTCAGTGCTTACGTTTCTCTCTCGGTAAGAGCATCAGTTCTCATCAAGATTATGTTCATGATCGACACTGCTTCCAGCTTCACATCCGCTTCGGTTCTTCTACTAGCAATTTCATTCATCAATTTAAACAGAGAATGCCAGTTTGCATCCCAACTTGGCTGAGCGTTATCAGTATCTCTGTGATTCTTCTTGCTTGACTCTGCATCAGATTTCCCCCTAAATGAGGTATTACTTGAGTAAACTGAGTCTCCAATGCTCAAATTAGTCTTGCTTCTACCTTTATATCCATGCAATTGGGCAATCTCACAAGCGCTGGCCTCCTCACCTGTAATATTGTCCCTGATAGAGAGCACTGGAAAGATCAAATCAAAGTTCATAAGAACGCTATACAGACTGTATTTTGTAAAAGAGGACCCCAAAGCCTATTTCTGAAATTAAGACACCAGTGTATGTAATAAATTGAAATAATAAGTGATCATGAAAAAACAAATCATTACAACCAGTGGTTTATGGTAAACGTAAGAATTTAGATCAAAGAAATATTGGAGAGAACAAGAAAACTAACCCTAGAAAGAGTGAGTAGATACCTGGCTTCAAATCTCATTTCATCACCAGATATATGTTCCAACAGCACATGTAGTACATGGAGAGATCTATGAACAAGAACGGCCTGCAGAACAGAGAAAGGAATAAACTCACCAAAAAGGAGATCCATAAAGCTACAAATTGCAGATAAAGCCTTGAATCGGAATCAGACATACATTTTCCACTTTGCAAAGATCAAGAAGTGGTTCAACCAAGGTATTCAAATTTACAAACCCATAGCTGATCTGCAGAAGACATAGGCAGTTCAATTGTACAGTTTGACCCATAGTTTATGTATCGACAATTATAATTTTTGAACTCAAAGCCATACCTTTGTCACAGCAGAGTACAAATTATTTACTTTTTCAGATTCTAATCCTTTAGAAGATTGCATGTTCGACGAGGTTTTGGCTGCCTGTTTTTCTTTTTCCTGGGAAGGCGTACTGGTTTTCATAAAGCTAAAGAGAATCTGGAGATCGGTCGAGCAAGCAAGTAGCAACTCTGAGATCAAATTTTTTCTCGGATCCTGATAGTTTGAGGTGCGCCAGATATCTAGAAGTTTCTTTGAAAGGTCAGCATGATTGGCCAGATCTGCCTGAACACCAGTGGTCTTGAAGCCTGACTTATGCCAAAGCAAAAAAAAATGAATAACAAACCAAGAAGTTTTGAAGACTTTGTAATCCACACAATAGGACTTCAAAATCTTCAAACTCATTATTGCAAACATATACATTCACATACTTCTTTTATCTTCTAACCCCGTTGTCGTACAGTCGGTTCCTCTATCATTTACTGAAGTTGCACCATCTGGTTCCCTGTTTCATTAGACCATCACTTGAAAATTATACTCAACATGGCAAACGATTTCACCTTCCAGTTTGTAAAAACGATGAGAATGCATAAAACTGAGAATGATTGAACCCTTACATACGCGATGATCCACAAGACTAGTAGATACTTAAAGGCTATGGTACTTCAGAAATGAATCAAGTTATTTAAAAACAAGTAAAAAAACAGCAACATTCACTCACAAATCTGTTCTTTTAGAAGCATGAAGTGTAGCACATTGCCCTTTACTTTTGGTCAGTGTCTCTTTGTTATTCCTCTTTCTAAGCTCAGAACATTCTTGTTCCTGGAACAATTGTGATAACCATCAAAGAGATTTGAACAATGTTAAAGATTGAAACTTCAATTTCAATGAATTGATAACTCAAAAAGATATAATCAAACCATATCCATCAGTTGCTTCGAGACACGTCCTAGCTCCTTCTGTATTATCAAATCACACAAGAACAACAATATAAGAATCTACAGATATGAGCAATATCTTCGTAACAACAAAAAAAACATAACCTTTAGCCGATCGATTTCGAGATCCTTGTTCGAAGAAGTGGGAGAATCTGGTCTGATAGCCACCGTAGAGTTGGAGTAACCGACGAAGGGGCCATTGGGAACGCTTACTCTTTGAGAGAGTACTCTCGGTGGAGAGTAACTACTGAAAGGATCACGAACTGGGATTTTACTTGGTTGTCCTGCACATTGTAAAGACGATGGAATGGTGGGTATCTCCGGCGCCGGAACCGGTAAAGTAGCTCGAGCAGACGGAGGTAACTGAGAAGAGAGGTATACGGTTTCATCGAGGATTTGGATCAACTTCTCGTCCATATCTTCATCCTCTTGCTCCTCCATCGGATCCA